CAAGCATGAGGACAAACTTCTCATTCGCCTGCTCATGGGGGCTCAGACTTTTGTTGGGGGGCCAGCGTCAGCAAAGGGCACGCTGAGGACAAACTGTAATCTGAGAGAAGATATTGGCCTGGGCGAGTAACTTCCAATGGCACCGCCAAGGCAAAGCCATGAACGTTAGCCAGCGTAGACCCCAAACATGGAATTCGTACAATCTTTGCGGTGCAATCTAGGAAGTGCAACCCGTGTGGTGCAATTTAGGTGGTGCAATCCACGTGGTGCAGTCTATGTGGTGCACAGCAGTGCGAAGCAGTGCAAAGCAATGGCGGAGCAGTGCAAAGCAACGCAACGCAATGCAAATCAGTGCAAATCAATGCAAAGCGATGCAAAACAATGCAGCGCAATGCAAAGCAATGCAACGCAATGCGAAGCAATGCAAAGCAAAACAAAGCAACGCAACGCAATGCAAATCAATCGAAGCAATGCTATTCAAGGTTACGCAAGGCGAAGCAACGCAACGAAAGCAATGCAAATTATTGTAATGCTATTTGGAGCAACGTCAATCAATGCAACGTGACGCAGGCCCAGACGGCGACCACAAAGCCGCCAGACCGACGGGCAGGCCCAGAGCGACGGGGCGGCGACGGCGACCACATAGCCGCCAGACCGACGGGCAGGCCCACTTCCTTAGAAACGCAATGCAAATATACGTAAAGCAGTGCAAAGCGACGCAAACAAAGCACTGCGAATCCACTGTAGTGCACTGCGAAGTAATGCAACGTAATGCAAAGTAATGCAACGCAACGCAAAGCAGTGCAAGGTAATGCGGGGCAATGCAAAGCAATGCAGCGACGAGGCGGTGGGCGGCGACGACGCGGCGACGGGGCGTGGACGGCGGCCACACGGCGGCTGGACCGCCACCCGGGCGCAGACGACAGGCGGCGACGAGGCGGCGACGGGGCGGCGACGGCAATCACAGGGCGGCGGGCCCGCCGACGCGCAGTAAAACAGGGCTAGGATCGGGATAAATCGCTCCAGAGCGTTCCCGAGCGCTCTCAGAGCGTTCCGGAACGCTCTGGAGCGGCCGCAGCGCCCAATACATCCTCCAAACCCGCCGATTCTCAGAGATTTCGCGGGGCGGCGACGGCGACCACATTGCCGCCTCACCGAAGGGCAAGCACTGCTTGGGGAACACGAGTGTGAGACAAAGTGCGGACCCGGGCAAGGAGAATCCAAGGAATCGAGTTCATTTTTTCTTGACCCCAGGGAAGAATTTAATCGCTTCGCTCATTCCGCCGGCCCTGGAGCGCTATTTGGGGCCTCTTGGGGCCCTCTTGGGGGCCTCTTGGGGGCTTCTTGGGAGCGTCTTGGGGCTCCTTGGCGGCGTCTTGGGCCCCCCTGGGGCCTCTTAGGGGGCTCTTGGGGGCCCCTTGGGGCGGGAGGGGGGGTAGTCGATTGCAGCCACCCCCTCGGAGGCCACGATCCTCGTGAGGGGTGGCGAAAAATAGCCTCCCCCTTGGGGATCGCCCGGGACCCAGCCGGGGATCGGCCAGGTACTTTTCGTCCGGGGGCCCCCAGGGGCCGCCCCGCGCGCGCGAATTAGAAATATTGTTAAGTAGTTACCGGAGATCTCAGCACGAATCTGGCCCGTTGGGCCGGCGAGTTTCGAGCGCCAAGAAAAGTACCGAAACCTTTTTTTGGTTGTTGTTTGTTTTTTTACATGTCGGGCCCTGGGAGGCGATACTCGCTCGGCACCTCGCCAGCGTGTCGGGCAGGCACTGCTACGGTTCTTCTCGGGGTGCTCGAGATCGTGTCTGGGATGTGGTCCTCACGTGCGTTGGAAACAGCACAAGCCATGCTCCTTCTCAGGGGGGTGTTAGAGAGGCGACCGGGAGGCTGCTTGCAGGCGCGGGGCGGGAGCAGGGGCGTAAGGCCCGAGGGAGGCAAATCCTCCTCCTCCTCCTCCTCCTCCTCCTGCTCGTCGTCCTCCTCCTCCTCCTCCTCCCTCTCCTCCTCCTCCTCCTCCTCCCCCTCCTCCTCCTCCTCCTCCTCCCTCTCCTCCTCCTCCTCCTCCTCCGCAGCGGCTGACAGCGAAGGAGCGCACGCTCGTCCTCGAGCTCTCTCCCCCCCGAGCTTGCGAGGAGCTTCGGGGGAGACCCGGGCCCGGCCTCGGCCACCGAGCGCAGCCGAGGGAGGGCGTCGCGGGGCGGAGGCCCCCACGGGGGCGTGCACTTCCCGAGCCTGGCCCCTCTCGGCTGGCGACTGAGGCCCTGGACCCTGGCCGTGCAGGGGGAGGAGGAGGGGAGGAGGAGGAGGAGATGGAGGAGGAGGAGGAGGAGGAGGAGGAGGAGATGGAGGAGAGGAGGAGGGGAGGAGGAGGAGGAGGAGGAGGAGGAGGAGGAGGAGGAGGAGGAGGAGATGGAGGAGGAGGAGGAGGAGGAGGAGGAGGAGGAGGAGGAGGAGGCTATCTGGAGGTCGCCCTTACCAGCCTGGAACAGCGCAGCCTGGAGGTCGCCCTTACCAGCCTGGAACACATCCCTATCCCTATGTTCGACAGCACCCCACCTCGATGCCGATCTTAGGGATTCCACCAGTTTTTGAGGGCCTGTCCCTGAGATTGTCCTCGCTTTTTGCTCGCCCATCTCTTAGGGATCGGGATACGTTCGAGGCTGGTTATTCCCGCCCGCTCTGCGCCCGCCGGGTGTTGCTAGAAGTGCCCCTGGCCCGAGGTACCCCCAGCTTTCCGCTCCATTCTGGAGCCCTTGGGGCCTCCGGGGCCTCGTGAGGGGTGCCCTGGAGGCAGTCTGGGCCACCCCGAGAATCCTAGAGGTACCTTGGGCCAGGGGCACTGCCAGCAGCACCCGAGCCCGCTCAGCGCCCGCCCTTCCTCGGCCCTCCTGCTTCCCCCCCGCCCCCAGCCGTCGACGGCCCGCTGCCGGCGCCCATGGAGGCCGGCCTCCCGCCCGCGCACCGGGCCGCCGCCGCGGCGGGGGGGGGGGCGGCGCCTCGCTCGGAGTGCGGGGCGGTGGTGGCGCCTGGCCGTGGTGCAGCAGTGCGGCAGTTAGGGGGCCACGCGCGAACCCCACCCCTACCCCCCACGATTTCTGAGGGAGAGGGTGGGGTTCACTTCGCTCGGGAGCTCTCGAATGAAGTGAACCCCACCCTCCCCCTCAGAAATCGTGGGGGGTAGGGGTAGGGTTCGCACGTGGCCCCCTGACAGTCGTTGGGTCGAGGGCTGCACAGGTGCGGCAGGCCTCTTCAGAGCTCGCGCCAGAGGGTGTTCGCGACGCTGGGGTCAGCCCGAGCAGCTCCCGACACCGTGCAACCGGGGGGCCTCTGGGAGCCTCATGCATGTGATGACCCCGTCGGAGAGAAAGAGGCATCCGCTCTCGAGCCCGTTTTCGGGTTTCTTGGGGTGCTCTTTGGTACCTTGGAGGGCGTCGTGAGGCCTCTCCGGCACCCTCTCAGGGCTCTCGTGGGTGAAGGCAGGATCATCTCGAGGCATCGGCGGTCCATCGGAAGCGATTCTCCGGGCGAAAGACTCAAGAGTATGCAGTTGAGACCATCGCGTTGTGGCACCACTCTCGGTGGATCTCCCTATGGTGCCACGAAGCGTGTGAGGAGTGTGCCGAAATGGGCGGGGAACTGCACGCGAGCCCTGGCACTGAGGCACGCGGTGGAGCTCCTAATGGGGCCGCGAATCATGTGATGAGTGTGCCGCAACGGGCGGGAAACCGCGTGCGAACCTTGCCACTGGGGCCTTCGGGTGAGCTCCCTGTGGGGCCACGCCACGAAACGTGTGAGGGGTATGCCGAAATGGACACGCGGTGGGCGGGGAGCCGCATGCGAACTTTACCACTGAGGCGTCTTCGGTGGAGCCTCTATGGGGCCACGAAGCGTGCGAGAGGTAAGCCGAAATTGACATGCGGTGGGCGGGGAGCCGCAAGCGAACCCTGCCTCTGGGGCCTTCGGTGGAGCTGCGCATGAGGCCACGAACCGTTCTAGGGGTGTGCCGTAACGGTTGACATACGGAGGGCAGAGGCAGGGATAGGAGGAAGGAGGAGGGAGGGAGGGAGGGAGGGAGGGAGGGAGGGAGGGAGGGAGGGAGGGAGGGAGGGAGGGAGGGAGGGAGGGAGGGAGGGAGAGGAGGAGGAGGAGGAGGGGAGGAGGAGGAGGAGGAGGAGGAGGAGGAGGAAGGAGAGGAGGAGGAGGAGGAGGAGGAGGAGGAGGAGGAGGAGAGGAGGAGGAGGAGGAGGAGGAGGAGGAGGAGGAGGAGGAGGAGGAGGAGGAGGAGGAGGAGGAGGAGGAGGAGGAGGAGGAGGAGGAGGAGGAGGAGAGGAGAGGAGGAGGAGGAGGAGGATGAGGGAGGAGGAGGAGGAGGAGGAGGAGGAGGAGGTGAGGAGGAGGAGGAGGAGGAGGAGGAGGAGGGGAGGAGGAGGAGGAGGAGGAGGAGGAGGAGGAGGAGGAGGAGGAGGAGGAGGAGGAGGAGGAGCAGGAGTAGGAGCAAAGCGGAGTGATACGTGGGGCGCGGGCCCTTCAAAACGAGGACCCAACACCGCAGGCATTCTTGGGAAAAAGACGAGGAGATCGAATTGATAGAGCAACCTCGCCGTAGCCATTTTGGCTCAAGCCGTGTTCTGAACCATCAGGTCTCGTTGAGCTAGCGGCTATGATGACAGTACGGGTCTGTTGGTAGCCAATGGCCAGACCGTTGCTGCGTGCGCGATGTGTTCTCGGGCTACGTCCTGTGTTCGGGGCTGTGCTTCTGATCGCGTGGCGAGTGATGATGGCGTCAGTTCTGAAATCTGAAACTCGGGAGGTCAATATTGTGAATATGTCTGGCATTTTGGCCCAATATTGCGTTGCTATGCAACAGGCACCGGATCCCTGTCATCATTATTCAAGACGTGCACAGCGATGCTCTGGCAGAAGCTCGATCAGGTGAATCGATCACCTATAAGACGAAGGGGAGCGTTACGATTTTTGTGCACATTGAGAGATCGGAGATCATCGATGCTACGATTGAGCATGAATCATAACAACTTCTGTTGCATTGGGAGTAGCTCAAATATGTTGAAGCCGATGGGAAGGACGTTATGATCTTCGAGGATTTCAGTGTCAACGCTGGTACAGCCGAATGCTTACGCTCTTCGAACATGTTGCCGCAAAGGTGGCTTCCCATATCCACCGGCACTTTGACATCAACAGAATTACGGCGAAGTTCCTTGTCCAGACCAGTCAGGCTGGGCAGGCAGAGTTGATTGGAAGTGTGATCATGGCTCCACGCTCGGAGGATTTCGACCCGACGTGAGGAACGCGAAGCTCTCCAGCAAATTTAGAAACCTTTTCTGCCAGTTGCCTGAGTGGCCAAGTTTCGGATTGGTGGGTCAGGGGATGGGCATTGTGCTGAGACGCACATATTACTTTGAAGCGTTTCAGCGTTTGCCGACCGACCCAGATTCAAAGGCACCGAAGTGCTTGAAGACTGACCTATCTAAGGTCAGCGTGTTTGAGTGCAATGTCTCTCTGATGTGTCTGAAGATCCAATCCATGCTCACTCACGTTGATTTAGGGATACAGATCGTTAGCGACGTCGGGCTGTCTGTGGGAAGGATGAAGTTGCTCGGCTTCTTCCATTTGATACATGGATCTTTGTTGCGGGACGCGTTCAACGAGATTAGACAACTCCTGTCAAACAGCAGCACTCGGTGGCATAAGGGGACTTTCTGCGCCCATCATTCACTGACTGGGAGTGCTCAGGGAGGCAGCGTTGCACATGTTTGGACGGTGTGCACAGCAGCTGCGAAGCGCCGTTCCGCAGTGACGGTTTGGCACGGGGGCCCGGCAGGCCGCGCCTCGGAGAGGGGGCCACCGGGGACGCGCCGGCGGCGAAGCCTGGCGAGGAGCGGCAGGAGGTGACGACATGCCCGCCTCGTGCAGGGCAGGGGAGATCCCTGCCAGGCACGCCCCGGGCAGAGGCGCACAGGCGGCACGCGAGCGTCGACCCTATGCCTTTCGTGGGCATGCACTTCCCTCATGGTGTGCTCCAGATTTCGTAATAAAAGGGAGGGGGTCTGGACCCTCCAAGACAAGCCATTTCAGACCTCCCCCGTGGGAGAACCCTCCAAAACATCGTCCCCAGACCCCCCCAGGCCCGCCAAGATGGCCTGGAAGAGACCCCCCCCGAAATGAGACCCCCCTCCCTTTATTACGAAATCTGGAGTACTTGTTTTGCACCGAGTGCTTGGCTGTGTCTAGTCGTAGGCTTGTGCTTTCTACAACTCACCTTTTGCATTGGCTTGGTGGCGACCATTGGGTAGGTGAGGCTTTCAGTGCTTGCTTGAAGCGGTGACCTCAGAGTTGGACGCTCTGTCTGTCTGTCTATGCTCGTACTGGCGTAGTGCGCGCCCAGCACTGCGAGGCTGCACTTGCAGCCATGCGGACCAGCGCAAGACGGCAGCCATCGGACATCGGCACAGCACTGCAGGGGACACGCGAGCAGTGCTGCAATAACAGCAGCACCATCGCCGCCGACGCGACCGCGCTACCACCACTAACGACTACGACAACTCATCGACTACACTACAGCCGCCTCACACCCGGCAAGGGAGCCCGAGACAGCGCAGCATGCTGGCTCACGCAGAACTGGATGTGCTGCCCGCCTCATAGCCGGCACGGGGGGCCCCTCGCGGCCCTCCTGGGGGAGAGGCGTTGGAGGCCCTGGGCTGCCGCCTTCTTGTTGCGTGTTCAACTGGTCGACTGTTTTCTTGTACCTGTCGCTTGATGCACTGCGCTCGGGTGGAATCCTGGTGCCTGGCAACGGGGAGAGCGTCGGCGATTTCTACACGCGTGTTCTTCTCCCCGTGGTCTTGGGCCGTCGGTCTACGTGTACACATTGGGAATCATCCATCGGCAGGCTGCACATTCAGGGGTCTGATTTTCGAGCAGCGCAGGAAGTGCAACAGCAGGTCTCCCGGCAAGCACTATTGCGCAACTGCGCGACGTACCAGCACCGTCAACAACGCGTCACCCACCTCCAGCATATCGACGTCGCGCTAGCCCGTGCTCCAGGTGCTTGCAAGGGCACGCTGCGCCGATCTTCAGCCGCAGAGCAATCCGCCGCTTACCATCACTACCCGCACCGTTGCTATGTGCCCTTCGTGGCGCGCTAACTGTTGCCACGCCAGGTGGCGTACTTTTAGAATACAGACCTACACATGATGGCGTGTTGGCAGTGCGTTGAGACGAATGGTCCGACGCTCCGCGTTTTGCGTGGACACCTGCGAGAAGATTGTACATGCTATATTCAAAAAAAATGGACGACCAACTGACAATATAACATATTTTCCTACGTGAGGCACTATCGCTCAGCAGGTAACCGTTGCGGCGACCACGGGAAAGACGAGCAACCACCTCTATTCAAAAACACGGAACACGCACCGACTTGTCCACCCCTACATCGCATTGCTTTATCCAGCGAGGGCTACGACCGACCTGCGGCGACTCCACTGAGAGCTCAGGTGCAGAGAAACATACAATGGCAGGTCACCACGTGCAGCTTGGACAGGAGGTTCGCGTGCATCACGGCACCTCGGACATGGCTACATGCCAGCTCCTACGCGCAATGCTGGACTTGCACCATCGAATCCAGCTACATCACGATGACGTGCCTCCCAGATGTCAGCGATGACTTCTTCCCTCCTGTCAAGACAACGTCTCTGCATGTGGAAGCATATGAGCTGGCATGCCAGTATTCACAGGCCCAGGTTCCGCCGTCCCTACTACCCATTGATCGCTGCGCCCAGTGCAGACGTGACCAGAAACAGTTCACATGTGGAGATGCAGGGGATGACGAACTATGGCCCCAACTTATCATATCACTTACTTGAACACAGCCCTACGACGACATCGACGGCCGCAGGGCTGGACTCGAACAGTTGCGTTTCAACAGCGGCGGCGCAGAGCATGGCCTGAATGAGTCCCTCTGCGATATCTACGGGTCGCAGTTTACCGCGCGTTACGAATTCGCCGTCGACGAGAACGCTTGCATACATGCAAACTACCAGAGTGCAGGAAGCAACGCCTTTACCTGCTCCCTGGCCAACGGCAGCAACGACAAATCGACAGGCTCGGAGCTACTGTCGCTGACCATTATACTTGCGGTCGCACTGCGTAACCCTGGTGCTGCAACGCTGCGGTCGCCATGGGCCACGTTGATCACGGGCGGGGCGCGCAGGCGCATCGCGCCGCTAACTTTGCGAGGCCAACCGTGCTACGTCAAGCAAAAAGCAGCGCCAGACTTTCCTGGCAGGCAGCTCAACGAGGGGACAGGTGCCGTTCGACTCTCGCCAGCGCCTCGACAGCCTACAATGCCGCCGATTCACTGCGTGCTACTAGCGCCGATGCCAGCAACCCCCAGTGGGGCCCCCCTCTACAATGGGAGAGCACCGCTGACGCCAGTAAAGAAGTATACCCACAGTATCGCATGCAGCCAGTGATACCGTCAGTCCACGCGATGCAGCCGACGCTTTCACTCCGCCTGCCACGCCCAATCAGCGCGACCTGCACGTTCGTTTTTTTTTTTTTTTTTTTTTTTTTTTTTTTTTTTTTTTTTTTTTTTTTTTTTTTTTTTTTTTTTTTTTTTTTTTTTTTTTTTGTTTTTTTTTTGTTCCTATTGAGATTCGAGGGATCGACGAGAACATCAACCGCGACCACATGTGCTGCAAGTGGGTGCAGCATGACCTGGGACAAAGGCGTCAATTATACAGGCAGACCGCGAACATCATGGCGCGATGCGGAAGCAATGCGCTGGACATGCGCCGCCAACACCCCCGCAACATTTTTTATCATGCGTCGAATTTCGCATGCCAGGCCCTTCCATAGGCGCCACTTCGTGGGGCCAACCCGCCGCTGACGACGACAAACAAGGCGCAGCAAGTAATTGCACTGCGCCATGGCGACAGCGAGCAGTGACGAGCGACGGCGACAACAACAGATACGTACCCACGCCCTTCACGTTGGAATCGCGGCCTCCACGCCGAGGACTTGGCTTGCGCACTCGGTCTTTCATGCAGATCAACGGAGGAACGTTGGAATGGAGATAATTGGAATTACGTTGCGTACGACAAGGACGATGATAATATCATTGCTTGCGCACTCTTGGATTCATGGCGGAGATACCTATGCAAATGCCACGAATGCAACTGCGAATGCTTCGTCGGCAACTCCTACCCGCGCGTGTGTTCCCGCCACCATTAATGCCAGGCGGGACTGCGTCGCCGTTCTCACGCTGCCGACGCCCGCCGATAGAGCATGCCGCGTACTTGGTGCCTGAGGGCGCCGGTGCGTCCCATGTTAGCAGAAATGTCAAGGGTGCACTTTGCTGCGACGCTCGAACGCATGGAGCTGTTTCGCAAGCGAGACGCGGATTTCCGATGAGGAGTGCCACTGTTCAGCCATGGTATCCAGAACAGAGTCAACGCGTCCACGACACCCCTTGACTCCATGTCTGCCACAGGCTGTCATTGCGGTCTCACAGTGGCTCCATTCTTGCACGGAGGGCGACTGGCCGGTGAGACTACATGGCGCGGCACATCCACAATGAATGATCAGCGGCCACAGCGACGTGACATGCTGGAACATTCCCGCTCCGTCAGCAACGGGCTCGTAGACAGCAGTGGCTACTCAGACTCTTCTCCACCACTTGCGCCCCAGACTACACTGGCGACCCAGACCACAAGAACATCTCCAGTTAACCGGCGCATGGCACAGACGACGATGTCAGCGCCACAGAACTCTTCTACTCAACAGGGCGATCCGCGGCCCAATGCGCCCACCGCCACCACCGTTTGCCGAGTTCCCTTCGATTTGCCCACTGCCCGGAGCAGCAGCCGCCCGACGATGGCTCGTTGACATTCCACCAGACGTGCGCGCACCATAGATAAAGTCGACTATCTGAGCCTACCCACCGAAAGGTCCACCTGACATGCTAGGCAGACAAACTGGCGCCACGCCCATGCCAGCGTGCGAGGGCGTCATTGAAACGCAAAATATGGACGACACGAACGACCCGTAACCATTGCACTACTTGGGCGCATCCCGAGACCGTCAGCGGCAGTCTCAGGAGTGCTGGAGGGTGTGGTACGCAGGCGAAACTTACAGCTCCAAGAGACTCAGTAGCGCAACGAGATAACACCAGCGCTTCAGGCACCACCGACGCCTAAGCTCAAGTTCCCAAAGCTGGAGCACAAGGCACCACCGACGCCCAAGCCCAAGTTCCCGACGTACCGACCAGGGGAGATGCCATACTGGGGCTAGCCTACTATGTCACATCGATCACAACGGTGACTACCTGTTCGTCAGTCACCGCCTGCTCTTCTAGTTTTGACGAGCTGCCATCTTTACCTCAGGTCAAAAGTGCTTGTGCTCAGTCTTTTTTTCTTCCCTCCCGTATTATCTGCTGTTTGGGTCCGCTCTGCCGATTCGGTTGGTTGGGGTCACTGTTGAGGCTGGGATGGATGGAAGCATCGAAATATGCAGTTTGCCTGCCAAATAGCGAGCCCCTGCAGAGTGCGCGCTTTCTCACTGGCCTCTATGCATGACTGGTTCCTGCGTCTCATCCGTCGACATGGACAATAGGGTACGTGCTATACTTGTACATGGGCGGCAATAGACACGCGGGTCCTAGTGCTGAGGAGGTTCGGGTTGAAACGGCAAAACTTTGGGTAGCGGCCCCAGAATTGCAGCATGCATTTGGCACATCAATGCGCTCCTCATCTTGCCACGTTTTTTCTCTCATTTTTCCCCCAAAGAGGGCTGAAGCCCAGGGTTTTTTTTAGATGGTTTACACCCGGTTTTGACTTGAAGAGGGCCGGCGGATTTCCGCTCGAACAAAAAACTAGGTGAAGTCCAATTCGGCGTGACAAAAATGCGTTTCGCGCGTGCCTGCTCGAGGAAAGTCGCCCCCCACCTCGGATCATCGATGAATAACTGGGTCCGCAGACCACCGCTCTCCTTTGTAACAAAAAAGATGCGGGGCATTTTTAGCAGAATCATCGAACAAAAACCGAAGTCTGGAGCCCCGACCGCGACGCGGAAAAGCGTCCCGCGCGCAGGAATTCAGAGGATGTCTCGCGCGTGCCGTGTCCCGCGCGCAGGAATTTCGAGGATGTCTCGACTAATTCGTTTGTTTTTCCAGGATTTCCTTGGATTTTGACAGGATGTCTCGAGCGAAACGTTAGTTTTTTTTCCAGGAAGGGGCGTAGGCCCAGGGTTCTTTTTTAGGATGGTAATCTGTCCCTGGTGCCTCACCTGAGGTGGGTCGGCGGATTCTTTCCCTGATAAATATCGAGGTCGAGGTGGGCCGGGGGATTAAAATTTGAGGTTGTCTCCGGCGAAACGATTGTTTTTGAAATCCCGATCGATAAATCACAGGGTGCGGGCCACTCTTTCGTGTGTTGAGGATGTCTCGAGCGAAACGCTTGCTCCGCAGAGTTACCGAGGATGCCTCGAGGGAGTCGCTTGTTTTGTAGAACTTGAGGGATCTGGGCGCCCCAGAGATTTGCCTTCTCCAGGTGCACGAACCCTTGTGTTTTTACGTATGTGCCTGTAGATTTGTCCTTTCCAGGTGCACCCCAGCACGACCTCACCCCAGCAAGACCATCACCCAGCACGACCACACCCCAGCACGACCTCACCACAGCACGACCACACCCCAGCACGACCACGCCCCAGCACGACCACGCCCCAGCACGACCACGCCCCAGCACGACCACCCCCCAGCACGACTCCCCCCCCCAGCACGACCACCCCCCAGCACGACCACCCCCCAGCACGACCACACCCCAGCACGACCACTCCCCAGCACGATCACACCGCCTTGGTTGAGTGGTTGCCTGTCGTCGTGGAATGTTTCGTGGGGTGTCTCGTGGACTGTTTCGCGGGGTGTCTCGTGGAATGTTTCCAGGAAAACGTTGAAAACGGTCGCCCGTGTCTCGTGGAATGTTTCGCGGGGTGTCTCGTGGAAGTGCCCGTCGCCCAATACGGTGTCGTGAAAACGTTTCCATGCATGCGGTTCTATATCCCTTTCCGGGTTCGTGGGTCCATCATGTTTATAATTTGTTCAGGATGTCTCGGGCGAAACGCTGGTTTTGCAACATTGGGGGATGTCTCGAGCGGGGGTCTCGTGGGGGGTCAGAATTCAGAGGGTGTCTCAGGCGAAATGCTTGTTTTCACGTCCCGCTCGTAGGAATTCCGAGGATGATGTCTCGCGCGTGCCGCGTCCCGCGCGCAGGAATTTCGAGGATGTCTCAACTAATTCGTTTGTTTCAAGGATTTCCTTGGCTTTTGACAGGAGGTCTCGAGCGAAACGCTTGTCCATAGCACGTTCCGTAGCGCGTCCCCTTGGCACGTCCCGCGGTGCGTCCCCATGGCACGTCCCCTGGCACGTCGCTTGGCGCGTCCCTTGAGACGTTCCGCGGCGCGTCCTTCTGGCATGTCCCCCTGTCAATTAGCTCTGGCGCAGCTACTATGTGTTCAGGCAGCTCAAGCTTAAGATCCAGATCAGTTCGGTCAGGACTCGGATGCAAAGGAGGACTCGATCCACGAGACTATAGAGCACAATCGCGGCATGGCACATCGCGATTCAGCACGGCGCAGCACAGCACATATTTCGGCACTGTACATCAAGATCGATACACTCGGCATTGCAACTTGGCACGTTCCTTGGCACGTTCCGTGGGGCGTCCCTTGGCGAGTCCCCCTGGCACGTCGCGTGGCGCGTCCCCTGGCACATCCCGTGGCACATCCAGTGAACGTTCCGTAGCGCGTCCCCTTGGCACGTCCCGCGGTGCGACACCATGGCACGTCCCATGGCACGTCGCCTGGCGCGTCCCTGGGGACGTTTCGCGGCGCGTCCTCCTGGCATGTTCCCCTGTCAATTAGCTCTGGAACAGCTACTATGTGTTCAGGCAGCTCGAGCTTAAGATCCAGATCAGTTCGGTCAGGACTCGGATGCAAAGGAGGACTCGATCCACAAGGCTATAGAGCACAATCGCGGCATGGCACATCGCAATTCAGCACGGTGCAGCACAGCACAGCCCTCGGCAGGGTACATCAAGATCGATACACTCAGCATTGCATTTGCCCGTCACCCAGTCAGATGTCTTTGAAAACGCTGCCATGCGTTACAGTTCTATATTCCTTTCCGGGTTCGTGGGTCGACCATGTTCTTGTTTTACCAGCAGTGCGCTCCACCCTAGACGCTGAAGCGTGCCCAGCGCCACAACACAGGAGGAAGACGAGGCGGGGGTAGGCATAGGACGGGAGCGGAGGCGAGTGCAGAAGCAGAGTCGCCGCGCCCTGGACCGTCGGCCGACGCGAGTAGCCCCGCTTGTCACGTGCTTCAGAGATAGGCCGTGCAAAGGGCTGCGGATCAACGGGGGGTGATAGAGGGGGGGAGGAGGGTGGGGATGATGAGGAGGGGGCGATGAGGGTGAGGTGGATCAGGAGGAGGTGGAGGCAGGACTCTTTGTGCCTTCGACCCCGGTCGCCACTTGAGTCCATGGGGTGCTCGGTTCTGCAGTCCCCGCCTCCTGCCGCGCCGAGGCATCGTCGGCCTCGCGCATGCCCCCAGCTGAAATGCGCATGCAGGCGGAGGGCTTCCAGGAGCGGCGCCGGGGGGGGGGGCCCCCAAGCGAAGCCGCTGCCGGGGCGCGACTTGTCTGGCAGTCTGCTGGGGTGGGGGCTGGAGAGGGGCGGTCCCTCACTGGGAGCGGAGTCGGCGGGAAGGGGTGCGGCCTCCTCCTCCTCCTCCTCCTCCTCCTCCTCCTCCTCCTCCTCCTCCTCCTCCTCCTCCTCCTCCTCCTCCCCTCCCCTCCCCCTCCCCCTCCCCCTCTCTCCCCTTCTCCCCCTCCTCCCCCTCCTCTCCCCTCCCCCTCCTCCCCCTCCTCCCCCTCCTCCCCTTGCGCGCGAGGTGACCTTCAGAAAAGCCTGGGGGGGGGAGCTCGTAACGCAGCAGTGCTGGAGTGGACGATGAACAAGTTGCGCCCTGGGGCCAGGTCGTCGCCCTTTCCCTCGCCCTCCCCGGTCGTGCGCCCCGACCGCCGACGGACGAGAGAGGACCGACGTGGAGGAAGAGGGAGAAGAGGACCAGCAGCAGCTGTGGCAGGCTATCATCATGAGACGAGCGCTATGTTTTTTTCCCCGGTGCCATCACCGTCTTGAGGCGCGAGGGTGGACGAAGGCAAGGGGGCTGCTCTTGTTCGATGAGCTGACGGGTCGCGCTCATGCCGCCAGCCCATATGGTCTGCTGTTGGACAGTTTTTGGGGCCGACCCGGCGGCCGCGTTCGGGCCATGTTGGGCAATCTTGGGGCTATCCTGGAGTCTCTGGAGCCCATCTTGGTGGGATCTTGGGGTCATCTCGGGGCCCTGTTGAGTCATCTTGGTCGGTTTGGGCGGCATCTTGGGGCCTTCTGGTGCCACCTGGGGACCGTCGTAGTAATATCCGGGGATTTTGGGGTCGTCTTGAAGCGATCATGCGACATGTCGGCTGGCAACACCTGCGACAGACAGAACACCCGGGAGGAGGGGCTCTTCGGTCTCCTGACCGCTCCAGGCTGCTCCAGCATTCTGATAGGGAAGCCATTCTTCGATCTGAAAGGCTCAATGGGGCCTCGAACATGACTCCACCAGGCCTGGTGCACGAGTGCAAATTGGTCGAAGATGGCCCCAAGACGACTCAGGAGGGCCGCAAGACGACCCTGAGAGAGCAAGAGACATTGAACACCCACAGTGCTACCAATTTCCAGTGGGTTTTGCCCGTCCCGCTGTTTTGCTTCCAAGATGTCCCAAGATCGCTTCAACACGGCTGCAAGGCCTCAATGTATGATCCGGGTTGCCCCTCCTTCCCCCCAATGCATACGGGATCGAGCCCCCCCTCTACCCCCCCGCTGGATGGGTACGTCCGTAAGCCTCGCGAAAGTCTCGTGAAAGGGATTCCCCCCCCGTGGTCGTGATCCTGTGGGCGTGGCGTGGTGGAGGGTGTCGGTGCAGGTGTCGGTGCACTCCCCCCTTCCCCTTGTGTGTGTGGGGTGGTTCGTCGTCGTCGTCGTCGTCGTCGTCGTCGTCATCTTCCGTCGTCCGTCGTCCGTCGTCGTCGTCGTCGTCGTCGTCGTCGTCGTCGTCGTCGTCGTCGTCGTCGTTGTCGTCGTCGTCGTCGTCGTCGTCGTCGTCGTCGTCGTCGTCGTCGTCGTGGTCGTCGTCGTCGTCGGCGTCGGCGTTTGCGTTGTCGGCGTCGGCGTCGGCGTTGGCGTCGTCGTCGTCGTCGTCGTCGTCGTCGTCGTCGTCGGTCGGCGTCGGCGTCGGCGTCGGCGTCGGCGTCGTCGGCTTCGGCGTCGGCCTTGGCGTCGGCGTTGGCGTCGGCGTTGGCGTCGGCGGCGTCGGCGTCGGAGTCGTCGTCCCCCCCATGCCATCTGGGGTTGGGGGCCTGTGGGGCCCTAGGACCCGTCCCATCTGGGGAGGGGCCCGTGAACCCTCGAGCTGGGAGCATATCTCCCCGAAGTGGGGCCCAGAGGCTTCAGGTGTCCAGAGGCCCCTAGATGTCTCCAACGCGGATCCAACGTAGCCAGCCCTGTTTGAGATGGCGCGGGTCTTAAGCAGCCCCTAGTTATCAGCAGCCTCGTTCTACTCGTCTTCCTGTCTCCTCCGAACAACGGCGTTTTGGAGGCGTCTTGTGAGTGTCTTTGCGCCTCTTGGGCGCTTCTTGGGGGGCCTGTTGGGGCCCCATGGCCTACCGATCTCTTAAGATGAGGAGGACTTCGGCGGCTTTGGAATCGTTTTGGAGCTCTCTCGGGCTATCATGTTTTTTCCCGTAGAGGGCGCCGGCCCAGGGTTCTCTTTTAGTTGGTAAACCTGTCCCCGTTGCCTCAACTGAGGTGGGCCGGCGGATTCTTTCCCTGATAAGTATCGAGGTCGAGGTGGGCCGACGGATTAAATTTTGAGGATGTCTCAGGCGAACCGCTTGTTTTTGAAGTCCCGATCGATAAATCACAGGGTGCGGGCCACTCTTTCGTGTGTTGAGGATGTCTCGAGCGAAGAGCGAAACGCTTGCTCCGCAGAGTTACCGAGGATGTCTCCAGCGAATCGCTTGTTTTGTAGAACTTGAGGGATCTGGGCGCCCCAGAGATTTGCCTTCTCCAGGTGCACGAATCCATGTGTTTTTACGTATGTGCCGGTAGATTTGTCTCCTCCAGGTGCACGAATCCATGTGCTTTTACGTATGTGCGTATAGATTTGATTTCTCCAGGGGCGCGAGTCCGTGTGTTTTTACGTGTGTCTACAGATTTGCCTTATGGGGCGCGATGCACATATCGCACCGTGCTACGATCCACGATGCTATAGGGCACAATCGCGCTATGGCACATCGCAGTTCACCACGGCGCAGCACAGCACAGCCCTCGGCACGGTACATCAAGATCGATACATTCAGCATTGCAACCTGTCACATTCCCTGGCACTTCCGTGGCGCGTCCCGTGGCGAGTTCCCCTGGCACGTCGCGCGGCGCGTCCCCTGGCACGTCCCGTGGCATGTTCATTGGCACGTTCCGTAGCGCGTCCCCTCGGCACCTCTGCGGTGCGTCCCCATGGCACGTTCCCTGGCACGTCGCCTGGCGCGTCCCTTGGGACGTTCCGGGGCGTGTCCTCCTAGCATGTCTCCTTGCCAATAAGCTTTAGGGCAGCTACTATATGCTGAGGCAGCTCGAGCTTACGACCCAGATCAGATCGGTCAGGACTCGGATGCAAAGGAGGACTCGATCCACAACGCTTTAGAGCACAATCGCGGCATGGCACATCGCAGTTCAGCACGGCGCAGCACAGCACAGCCCTCGGCACGGTACATCAAGATCGATGCATTCATCATTGCATTTGCCCGTCGCCCAATCAGGTGTCTTTGAAACGTTGCCATGTCTTACATTTCTAGATTCCTTTCCGGGTTCGTGGGTCGATCATGTTCCCAACCCTCCTTGGTTGGGTATTCGTTTTGAATAGAGCACCGCGGTCGCGTCTCCCTCCTTCTCCTTCCGCCTCCCCCCGCCTCTTCCTGCCCTCTCTTCGCCGTCGCTGGGGGGCTGCGATCTGCGAAACTGTCGCCACTTTCGAGGGCTGCCGGTGGGTCCAGCAGAGTGAGTCACCGCGCGGACCTCAGGTAGACCTCGCCGTCCCTGGGGGGCTGCGATCTGCGAAACGGTCGCCACTTTCGAGGGCTGCTGGTGGGTCCAGCGGGGTGAGTCACCGCGCGGACCTGACGTAGACCTCGCCGTCCCTGGGTGACGATCTGCGAAACTGTTGCCTCTTTTGACGGCTGCTGGTGGGTCCAGCGGAGTGAGTCACCGCGCGGATCTGAGGTAGACCTTGCCGTCCCTGGGGGGCTGCGATTTGCGAAACGGTCGCCACTTTCGAGGGCTGCTGGTGGGTCCAGCGAGGTGAGTCACCGCGCGCACCTGAGGTAGACCT